GCTGAACTCAACGTGCCGTTGTGTTTCGCACACTTCTCTCTCTCTCTCTCTCTCTCTCTCTCTCTCTCTCTCTCTCTCTCTCTCTCTCTCTCTCTGTGTGTGTGTGTGTGTGTGTGTGTGTGTGTAACAAGCACGGAGTCTGGCAGATACACATAGAAACACAGAGACATAGAACCCCACGATCGACCGCGGCGATCTTCTCTACGGATGGTTGTATGTCATCGGCATCAGCAGCAGGCTGAAGCGTTTGGGGAGACCCTGCACTGTGAGAGTGGGAATAGGCAAGCAGTTGCAAGTAGCACGCGCTCTTCGGTGCCAGCATCTCTTTTTATGTGTGACCTTTCTCTCTGTTTATGTCCGCGCTCGCACCATAGGAAGAGTCTCAGGGCAAACTCACTGTAGGACTTCTCGCTTCAAAAAAAAGGAAAAAAAAAAAAAAAAAAAAAAAAAGGGACTCCTCGCTTCTTGACTGATGTGTGGACGTCATTGCAGGCCTCTAGTTCCTCTGTGGCGGCAATTCGCACTAATAAGAGAGTTAGGGCGTCGCCACACCACTCTCGGAATGTTCAAGTTGAGAATGAACTTGCAGCTAGAACATGGCCAGATGCGCATGCCAAATTCTTGTCTTTTTCGCATTTCGACAGTGGTGTGGCTTGGCCCTTAGATACAGGACCTCGCAGCACAGCTCAGCGAACGTGGAAAATGAGAACGTATCTTCAGCCATAGCCCAGAAAGACACACACGCCTGAGTATTTGTCTTTTCCACATTTTTTTGTCTTTTCCCCCGAACATAACGCACCCTAAAAATGAATGTACACAAGCTGTATTTCCGGCCAGAATAAGGTGAGGTGTGTTCGGGGGAAGACGGTAGGCCCACATTGAGGAAAGTGATAGTCTGCTCTCCGGATGACCAGAAGACCCAGAACAAGTCAAACCAGAAGCCTCGGCGTTCTCCCGTGTTTTCATTGGTTTTGTGTTTCTGTCCTCTTCCTCCCCTCTTTCTTTTTTTTTTTTCTTTTTTTTTTTTTTAAAGGGCGATGGCCTTGAGGTATTATCATCGGACTACAAAAAAATATATATATATTATCACCGGACTAACCAGCCCAGGTAAATTCAATATTGTGTCTAATCTGACGTCGGGTGGCCTTTTCAGCCGAGGGATTGCCTTCAGGGAGCCCCCAACGGAAGACACCGGCCAGGGGACAGCCGGTGGCAGAGGGAGCGAGCATGATCTGAGTGGCTAGTCGCTGTGCCTCCCCGATTACCCCTCGAAAATCAGCAGAGACTGCTTTTTAATGCCAATTGGGGGGACCAATATCTCTAGGTGGCGGAGGCCAAGCATGCCCAGGAATGTACACGAGGCCAATGGGGATTGAACCCAAGACCTCCTGAATGCCACTTGCGTGCCTTACCAACTGAGCTAGGCCGCTGGATTCTTCCTCTCCTCTTGTTTCCTTCTATTCTTTTTTTTTTTTTTTTTTACAATTTACTTCTATTCTTGGAAAGGGCGACAGCCTTTCTAAAAGCTCAGTTGGTAAGGCACGCAAGTGGCATTCAGGAGGTCTTGGGTTCAATCCCCATTGGCCTCATGCACCTTCCTGGGCAAGCTTGGCGCCCGCCACCTAGAGATATGCCGTTGGTCCCCCCGAGTGGCATTGAGCAGAGACTGCTGTTGTTCATAGGGGGAGGGGACCGGAGGGGAGGCACAGTGACTGGCCCATCGAAGAAGCTCGGTCCTGATGCTACCGGCTGACCCCTGGCCGGTATCGCCCACCTGCTGTAGCAGGTATCGCACCTGCTGGTGGGTGCAGCTCCCGCATGTTCCCTCGTTGGAGGCTTCAGCACGGATGTGGCTGCTACGGGTTCCCCGTAATACTATAATAATGACAATACAGATTTGACAGGTAATTGAATTGGTTGGGCTTCAAAGAATTAGCCTTTAAAAAAAAAAAAAAAAAAAAAAAAAAAAAGGTGAAAGAACAGCACGTCATATGAACTGGACATGAATCTGAAATTTTGTCTTCTTTGTCCTGGTCTCCTCGCCGTAGCGGGCCTCGCTCCACTCCGCATCACTGTAATTGTATCTGGACGTGCCGGTGGTCCTCATACATGCGACTTGTTGCATCATGCAATGTACGCAGTCACGATACATGCATGAAGTTGGCAGTGAAGCCATGACCATCATCATCGAAATGAAAGTCCGACAAATTTTCGGGAGGTGGGGGTCGGACCGGTGCGCTACCGCCGGCGCTACAGCGCTCGGACCTAGCGCACGCAACCCGGTAACGGGACGGACTCGGTCGTGGTGCTACCATGGTGATAGCTCCCGGTAGGGTTGTAGTGATGCATAGCGTTGCCATGACGGCGCGACATAGCCCTGGAGCTATGGCATCCTCCAACACGATGTTCCCGTTCAGACCTGCGTAGTAGATGTATACGAGGTGTTGAGGAAGGTTGATAGTCAATGTAAGCTATATGAGAAGTCAGGCAGCTAGGTATTCTGCGTAAGTGACAAAAGGGGCTCGGATATTGACGATATCTGAGTGTGCCATCAGGCAGGCAAGCCAAACACGCGCTGAGCAGCGCATGAATTGGTGTACGATTATGGCGGAAGTCAACATGGACCGGGGGCCGAGATCTCCACCGGCCGCTCCAAACGAGACTGAGGAGGACAATGAGAGATCGCCTGAACTGGCAAGGCGTTGCTATGAAGATGGAGTGATGCCAGCAAACATCGACCCTGGAGTAATGAGTGGGGAGGGTCGTGTGGTCCCCGTTAAAGTCAATAGGAACATCGATCAGGTGAAGATAGAGCATACTGTCACTATTATCTTCCGAGAAGGGGCGAGATTCTTGTCCCGTAAGGTTAAAGAGGATATAGTGAGGGCGTTTGAAGATGAGAAGGTGGCCGAGGGTGCCCTTGATGTGCAAACATTCATCAGTGGAAGAGTGAAGATCGAGAGCCCGAATGTACTCTCGTACATGGCCAAAAGCACAGCGATCATTACCTTCTTGATTCTCAAAGGAAGAGATGAACTCACAATTGGCAGGAATCGCTATGTCCTCGAATTTAAACCATGGCTTACGAAAGCCCAATTGCGCGCTCAGAGACTGGAGGAAGATGACTCGGTGTTTTGGGTGATTGCGGTCCAAGCCCCTCTGGACGCCTTTTTCTACTTGCACGCGCAGGTAGCACGAGCGATTGGGCCGATCTTACGTACACATCCAACAGAACAAGACCGCCTGAAGCCAGCCGTCATTAATATCAAATTTGATATTGACCCTTCTGCCAAGGACAATATGAAGGATAAGATTTGGGTGGAGACTTGTGAAGGTGACGAACTGGAGATTAGACTGGATTCCTCGGACACGCCTAGATGTAGAAGATGCAGAGCCTTCTTTCACACTGATGCGGAGTGCAGAAGAAATCAGAATCAAGGCCAAGGTCCACAACATCAGCAATCTACAAGTCGACCACAGTACCAGGGAGTGTTGAGACCGATAGGTGGGCAAGGAGGTCCGGGTGGGGGAGCACCAAATGAAGAGGTAGGCACTTCACAAACGAGAGGTGAAGGAGTATCGGCAACTATGGCGACAGGACAAGCGGGAGCCAGGATACCATTGGCGATGGAGAGATTTATCCTGAGCCAAGGTCAAACTGCACAAGGGATGGGACAACAGCCCACCCCACTAGGTCATCTGTCGAGCTTTCTCCCGGGAAACTTCAACCTGGGACAGTTAAACAACAATCCGATCTTCTCTCCCTGTCTTCATGCGATGCCGAGTGGCAATTTCTATCATCCACTCGGTATACCAAGCCAGTCTTCCTAGATGGCGCATCCAGTTATGCAGCAATACGTCGGTACCGCCTCGGCCTTTGCTCCCTATTAAGATCTGAGAAGCGGAGCACATCATCCATCACGAGAAGCAACTATGCCGCCGCTAACAAGAGGCCAAACGGAGCAAGCAACAAGTGAAGCACCATCAGAGCCTTACCTGCCGCCGCGACCAACGGAGGTGAAAGACCTTCAAGCATGCCGACAGGAGGCTTCGACTTCATCTCCAGCAGGACAAGATGGCAGACGACTGACCTTTGGGAAACAACGACGCCTGGAAGGAAACGTTTCAACCTCTCCCTTGCATAGGAATGAAGAGTTGTTGTCCCCACAGGGGTCCGAAAATTCATTGACGTCTATCGTCGGTACCCCAGGTACGAAAACAACGAGGAGGCGAACGCCGGCAACTCTGCAGAGAGGTCAAATCCAGGACCTGGAGGTAAGGATTCTCCCGGTATTCTGCACGGTCGTGCGTAACAACCTATGGTGGATTGCTTTTGTAGGTCCCGAGGGTTCGCCAGCGCCGGTCAATCTACCTGCTCCTGAACAACCCATGCCATCATCCATTTTCACCCTAGTGCGCACTGCGATTAGGAACAAATTTCCATTTCGATGGGTGTCGGGAGAGCTAATGATTAGGTTGATAACCGACCAACAGAAAACTCCTAACAGAAAGCTGAAATTCTTTGTTCCTATCTTTGATGTGCGATTTGACCAAGGATAGTTGGAAGTGTTTGGAGGCTGAGGGTTTGAAATTGCTTCCGCTTGCATGGTTGTATGAGCAGAAAATACAGGAATTGTCGCGAATTAGAATTCCTCCGTACTGTTCGGCAGAAATCTTGGGAGAGCTCGAGGGAAGGTTACCCAGCGCGAAGAAACTGAACTCGCAGTTCTTCAAGAACAGCATCACTGCCCCATGGGTGTCAACTCATCCCACCGCCGAAATCCATACTCTAGCAGGCGAGGTTAAGAGGGATGTCTAAATTTAACTTGATAATGTGGAATCTGAGAGGCTTAGGTGACACGACTAAGAGACATAAACGAGATAGGTTGAAAGCGTGGTTGCATGAGAAGAAGTGCCATATTGCATGCTTACAGGAAACCAAGTTAAATGAGGATAAGATTAACTCCCTGGGCCATTGGTGGGATGGACCACAGATTTGGTCACCCGCCATCGGCACAAGGGGGGGCATGACCATTTTGATCCATAGAGATGAACAGTTGGAGATAATCGATTTCTATGCTGACTTGTGGGGCAGATGGTGTTGGGTTAAGTTTTTCAAAGATGATGAAGAGTGGGTAGTGGCTTCTATTTATGCTCCTGTAGATCGCTCAGAACGAGCGTGTTTTTTCGATGAATTATTCTATGTGATCCCGGACTGCGATTGTCTCATCCTAACTGCCGATTGGAATACCTCATTGGACGCAACCTCGACTAGGCTGGATGGGCTTCGTGACAAGGACGCATTACTAACTCTGATGAATGAGCTCAATCCGATTGACCCGTACAGACTGGCTCATCCGGATCTGTCAGACCTTACCTAGTTTTCGAACTGCAGGGACAACACCGGTACCATTACCCGGAGGTTAGATTACTTCCTAATCTCCTCTGGTCTGTGGAACTCGGTCAACGAGGTATCGGAATCACTACAGTCCTTGTCCGGTCACAAGCCGGTAGACCTCCAACATCCGTTCGACTTAGATGCCCCAAGAGCCAGAGACCTAACAGATTTGTGCGAATATGCCGCCATATATTATAAGGACATACTTACCTCAAGACTGCAGGGACCGAAAGTCGCTGAAGACCGACATGTAGACTGTGTGCATTGGGATTGTATTCGGTTAGAATCTCGACGCCAGGGCGCCTAGACCTGGACAGGCCAATTACATCGGAGGAAGCTCTGGAAGCTCTCAAATCCATGCTAAAAGGCAAAGCGTCGGGGGACGATGGGCTCTTGGTGGAACTGTATATCAAGATGTGGGACTATGTGGGAAGTATTCTAACTGAAATCTTCAATGAGATATTAGCGGGCTTCAATCTGTCAGCCAATATGCGTCAAGGAATTATTTCTGTTTTATTTAAGAAGGGCGATCGGACGGAAATCTGAAACTGGAGACCTATATCAGTTCTGAATGTATCATACAAATTACTGGCTAAAACTTTGGCCAGGAGACTGGGCAAATATCTCCCTGACCTTGTCCAGAGTGACCAGGCGGCCTTTGTTCAAGGCAGGTTTATATTTGATAATATAGTTACTGCCATTGAATCTCTGGAGATTATACAAAATGACTCTTTAAATGTGGCTATGTTACTCCTAGACCTGGAAAAAGCACATGACAGGGTCAACTGATCATATGTCTTAACAACTCTAAAAGTTATGGCGTTTGGGCCTAACTTTTACAGATGGATAGTAGGCATGTATACGTTGTCAACGACCGATGTAATGATTAATGGTCACTTATCCGTGACGTTTCCTCTTACACGGTCACTGAGACAAGGCTGCCCCCTTGTCCCGCTCTTGTTTGCAGTTTAAATTGAGGTTTTGTTGAATAACATAAGAAGACAGGAGAGAATCAGAGGTCTTACCATTGGCCCGTCCTTGTGTAAGGTGAAGGCACTGCCAGACGATCTCTTTGTTTTATCGGAAAACACAGCGGAATCATTGGGAGCTTTGAGGACAGAACTAGCTAGCTATTGCGATCTCTCTGAAGCCTCAGTCAACTAGCATAAATCTGTATATCTGCTTCCTGTTAACTTCTCATTGTCTTGTGAATGGGGAATAAAACGCATAACAGATGATTTGTCGGAACGTTTCTTAGGTGTCCAAATTTCCCTTTTGGATTGTTCGGGTGATGAAGATGATTTATTGCTGCAGAAATCGATGCAAAGAATGGTGATGTGGGGTAAGGCTCCTCATTTATCACTGTTTGGTAGAGCCTTAGTTATTAATGGTGCCCTGTTCGTGTTGCTGTGGTTCATGGGAACAGTCAGGGCCTTAGGGTCACAACTGTACTCACTTATCAAAAGGCGAGCAACCAAATCTCTCTGGAAACCATACGCCACAGACAAGGATTCTTTCATCTCCAAGGTCGCTTGGGAGATGCTTTGTACTCCCAGGATCTAAGGGGGGTTGGGGATTATGGAACCAAAAAAACAGAATAATGCCATGCTTATACGTTGGCTGATCAATGCTAACCAGTTATCCCCTGCCCCGCACTGGGTTATTATGGTGGAACACATCCTGACAAAGGAATGGAAGTTGGTCAAACCGAACGATGTTTGGCTCTATCTAATGCTCCTGGACTATTCTTTTCAGAGAAGACAAATAAAGTCTTCATTTTGGAGAGCGATTATTCTCGCATGGAAGAAGCTCAGACCGGATGTGTAGGTGAAACCAACAACTAAGACTGAAATCCTGTTACAACCGTTATTCGAGAACCCCCACATCCGCTCTCCGGATGGGGTTTGGATTAAGGCAGATAGATGTAGCTTTGGTTGTAAGTGGATTGAACTAGGGGCTCTCAGAGTACAGGATCTTTGGGACCAGGTCCAGGGAGCTTGGATATCTGAATCTCAGCTGCGACTTACTCTTGGCAATGTAAGGAATCTCAGCTCGAAATTGGCCTTTGTGATAGATGCAATCCCGACACATTGGAAATACCAATTGGGCCCAAACGCGGTTGATCCACCAGGTTCTTGGCTGGTGAGCACAAATGGGGATCAGTCGAAATTGTGGAAAATAATTGAATATCTACCTGATGGAAAAAAGGTTCTCCAGGGATGCCAGATCGGCCAAAACGCTTGTCTTGTGCAGATTGAAGAGGATGAACGTCCGCCGGTAGGCTCCATATTTACGCAGGTTCGAGTGAATGAAATGAGCAGTTCCCATGGTGTCCAAGGATATGAGGTGGTTTTGAATGGAACACCGGTGGAGAATATGAAGGTGGATCCCTGCATGTGGGAGTGGAGGGCCCTGCGAAAATCTGGGGAAAACCTGAGAATCATGGATTACACTCGGAAGGTCGGTTACAAATGTATCATTGCTCAGAAGGATCCTCTGACTGTGGCAAGAACGAGATGGATGGCAGTCATAGACATTCAACCTGGAAGAATAGATCAGGCCCTGCTCAACAGTTGGAAACAGCTAAAGGTTATTGCCTGTCAAAGACAAGCCTCAATTTGTGGCTATTTTCTATGATGGTCACCCCTTTGGCGGTGTGGCTTGCAGTCAGACATTTGGAAATAGACCTGAAGTGCCTGCGATGCGAATGGGCCTTCGAATCTACCATTCATCTGTGGTGGGACTGTCTCGCCTCTCCTTGGATCTGGAAATGGTGGATTAACATATGGAACAGATTACCAGGCCCATCATTCGAGTGGGACAAGATATGGACCTTTCTGGGCGGGGTCCCGGATGGTACCCCTGTCACAAAAGGGTGGGGCTATATGGCGCAATCGGCCAGAGCTGTTCTCTTTTCAATAATCAGGCAAGGACGGAACGACCAGGTGTTAAAGGGGAAACAGTGGACTAATGCACAGATCAGAGGATCTACAAGGCAACTGCTGAGAAGAGTCATTCAAGCGGACTAGCGGAGAAAGGTCGCTAAATCAAGCAGCAATGGTACAGGAAAAATGTGGTTCAGAGAAACATGGTGCCTGAACAATTCCTTTGCGTCGATCAATGAGAAAGGGCAACTATGCTTAGCCCTGTGGCTGTTTAAAACTTAGGAGTAGTAACCTCAACCTGGTTTGCTCGGTTGCAGAAGTCGCAGTAGACGGGTTGTGGGACATCGGAGGCTATCAACCTGCTTATCTGGTTGTATTAGTCGCTATAGGCTAAAACAGGGTGGAAGTACTGTGGAAGGAGCGCCCAGACAATGGTTTAACCGTCGGGTTAGGCGGTAATAGTATTGGGTCGGTAGATAGATTAGCATAGAACATTGGTTGGTCGTTGAAGATTTTTTTAGTAGAATAGGTGGTAAGTGGGGTAGGAATTCCCTTGCCTTAATTGGTGGTCGGCTAGTTGGGTTTTGAGTTTCTGATTGTTTCAAGTTTGTTGCTGGTTTTGAGGCCTTGTAGGCAGTTTCTTTTCCTCTTCTCCTTTTCCCAGGGTTGGGATGTGTCAGGGCAGCTGTCTAGATTTGACCACTCTGCTTCTAGACCACATTGTCCCAAAGCCTGAACCTAAGCTGGGTAATGGTCACAGTACTATGGCATTCGTGTCTCTTGTATCCGGGTTGTTTGTTCGAGGTTTTTCCAGCCTCCCCCTCCTCTTTTCTGTGATTGGTAATATGAATGATCAAGCTTTTAAAAAAAAAAAAAAAAAAAAAAAGTCCGTAGGTGCTTTGTGTGATTCTACTGGGAATTTCGTGGCTGTATCTAATGACCTCTTTTATGACCGTGCCTGGATGCATTTGACCGGAATTATGGCCCCAGAGAAGTTCAAAAGGTCCTCGTGCGAGTAAGACGTCTGGTTATGGACAGTTAAATGAATGTTCAATTAAACCACGAGGGCTAGGCAGAACCCCCCCTTAGGTGCAATCTGAAAACAAATAAAGAATTCTCCCGCTTTTTGCTGCTCCTGCACGGCAGATGGCCACATTATTCTGCCTGT